CGACAGTTATGCTCAGTGATCAGCTAGAGCAAGGGCAGATTTATTAATCTATTCGGCTTGTCGTCAAGCATTTTGCCGAATTAAGATGTAAAGGTCATGATCTCTATTGATTTGGCACATTTTTGTTTTCCAATACGTAATGATTAACATTCATTAACAAAACAGACATTTTCATTAATAAACTGTATAAGTACATCCACTTTATACATGAAAATGGCCTACATCTAAAATAAAGTGCTAACAAAAACTAATAAAAGCTTGCAAAACAAAGCTAACAAAAACCAATAATGGCTGAATATCCATTACAAAACCGCCGATCAAAAATCCAAATCCTTTGGATTTGATTCTAGCGGTTCGACTTCCAATTGTTCATAAGGAATCGGTTGATCGAGAGTCACCTTAGCGGCCGCCAAAGCTTTTAGCCATCCATGCTTGAAGCCTCAATTCTCGAACTTCAAGGCTTCATCAACGTACAACTCCTTGGCCTTCAGCTGGCCGGCGTCAAAGGCTTTGGCCGCGTTCGCCTTAGCGAGCTCCCTCGCCTAAATCTCAGCTTCAAGAGCGGCCTTCAGCTGAGAGACTTCTTCTTGTGCCGATTTAAGGGAGCCGTTCAGAAAGTTTGTTCGCTCCTCAGCATCCCTATGTAACTGGTTGGCGTGTTGAGATTTATCTTGCGCAGTAACGGCCCTCGCCTTCTCTTCCTTTGCCTCCGCAGTTTCAGACTTGGCCTTAGCCATTGCCACAGCCAAATCGGCAATTGCAGCCATGACCTTCCCCTTCTCAGCTTCAAGCTGGCCCTCAAGGACGCCGAGTCACTCTACGGTGTCGTAGTGATGACGGCCGATCTCGGTAATTCTTCCCGCTGCCTGACGAAAGCAATAAAGCCAAGACTTATTAGTCGGCACTAAAAACAATTTATATGATCCAAGGGGTCGAAACTTACCAATATGGCCGACTGTGCTACCAGAGCAACAGAGACAACATCCGGTTCGGCGCGGAAAGCGGCCTTATCAGCTGGCAGAGAGAGAGCTGAAGCCACACTTAAGGCCATGATAGGTTCTTTGATGGCCGATCCACTGGCGAGAACTGGCGCATTCTTCATCCTTGGTTGGATGACAAATGGCTCGGATACCTTATCAGTGGAAGATGTCATCTCAATTCTTTGCCGTTTGTCTGTCGGCACTTCTATTAGATCGGGGACGATCTCGGCATGCCGTTTCTGCCTTGAAGGATCTACTTCCACGATTTGCTGGCGCTCCTCTGAAACATATTCGGCCACTATCATTTCAGGGGCCGTTTCTTCTCTGGGAACTTGGCATGTTGAAGTGACCTGGCTCATCCCAGAATCGCCGACCTGTCTCCTGGCCGCCATCTTCTCGGCATTACGCTTCCTAGCGAATTGAGTGAGGGACTCTCCGCTTATCTCTTCAGCTTCGGATTCGGCCCCAGGAAGATTCTCTAAAATGGTGAAAATGTCGTCCTCTGGAGCTGAGAGGTCCGCTCGGCCAGAGGTGGATGGCTAGTCGGCTTGACCGCCAAGGCTAATGCGCTCCAAAGTCAATTCAATATCTGAATTCAATTCTTGGTCTTCTACATGGTCGTCGGACTGCGCGTTTTCTGCGATTTGTTCATCGGCGTCGGACCCGTCAACACCAATATCCCTTAGGCTTTTGAAACTCGGGAATATAGGTGCAGTCAGATGTTGTTCGCCTCTCGGCACGGGGATATGGTCAGCAACCGAGAAGGTGGCGTAGGTGGGGTTGTACCTCAACAGAACATGGGCTGCGCGTCCTTGCCCTTGAAAGTTGGCGCGGCCTTTGTAGTTAAGAGCAGCCTTCACTTGCGTAAGAACGGCTTCGTCTGCTAATGTCAACGTCCTTTTTAAATCATTACCTGCATGACAATCATAGATCAATACAAAATTTACGCCGAATTCACAGTTTACAGAAATAGTATCATAACAATCTAGTTGGCCACCTGGCTTCCCCTTTTGCCTCGGCACTGGGTCTTGGCGATCTTCTCCTTCACCGAATTCCCAATTACCTTGGATGGCGACCATGACATCATCAACCCTTTTTCTTGAGCTGGCAAGCATGGTCACCAAGTGATGATCTATGTCTTTAGCTCTTAGGAAGTAATGGCCCTGCCGACCAGACAACTTCGCCATGACGTAACAGTGCCGAATAGTTGGGATTCCTAGGTTAAGTCCTAACTGCCTATTCAACTCTACTATTCTCATGATTATGCGGTAGAAGTTCACGTTAGGTTGGGAGGGAATAAGACCCTAGTCACGCAGGACCGACCTAAGAAAGAGATGGAGGGGAAATCGGACTCCACCTTCAGCGATGGACAAAAGGGGGAAAATAATGGTGTTTGTATCAGCCCGTTCCATGTCCAACACACTGTCTGCAACAAAAGACAAGTGTATGTCGTTTGGACGACGGAAGGCTGAGACTCGTTCCTCTGAGAGGAGGGCTTTCAAATGTCTCGTGATCGAAGACGGAATATGAACCAAATGTATATTAAATAAAAACAAAACAAGTAGGGGACTGGAATGAGAATTGAATGAAAAGAGAAAGGGGAACTTACAGGTTGAAAGAGAAGATGAACAGTAGAAAGCAGAATCACAGAGGTCGCAAAGAAGGTCAACGAAAAGGATGCCAGAGGAAGTCGCACGTCTCTCGAGCTAAAAAAAATATACGGAAGGACAGTTTTCAAATCGAACATTAAATGATTGTCAAATACGAAGGGGCGAGAAGTTGAAATGATTGCGATATGGTGTCTGTTCTGATGAATCAGTACCAAAAGGAGTGCAATCTCCGTATGTCCAACTTTCAAGGGTTTATCCGACTTGAAAGCCAAAAAGTCATCGACCAAACATGCCGATCATCGTAATCTAACTCCGATGTTTGGGGGTCAATTGTGGTGGCCGAATATAAAAAGCTACAATTGGGTGGAGCCATATGTAAGTTGGCTCTTAAGGGCCGATGAACTGTGGTTCGCCTCGGCTGAATAAGCCTACCTTTATAGCCAAGTATGTTGTAGATCATACAGCGTAACTGAGGGCCCAGCTGTGAGGGTAGAGTTTCCATAAATAAGAAGGGGGCCCTAGAAGAGTACTATAGAAGGAGGAACATCAGCCAGATGGAAGGTACGTGAAAGTAAACTAGATAACTTGAAATAGAAGTAAACTTGAGAGAATACTGACTTGCCCGTCGGAGTGCTAATTCTGGCACCCCCGATTGGAGTGTTCATTCCTTTCAGGTAGCAACCAGAGGATCCAAGACCGTCTACCTAGATCAGAGAGTATTTCCAATCCACTTTACCACAAATTTATAGGGTGGTTATCCATGACCTGTAGGTGGTATTGAAATATGCGAATTATGTGATTCTTATTTTAGTACCTTCTTCATCAAGTTCTCTGCACATCTTTGATCTATGATAAGCCCTTCATCACTCCATTTTCTTCAGAAAAAATATGTGATATGATGTAATAGAGATAGAAACAGAATAAAGAAGATAAGATGGAAGGGCACATCCCCTTCGTCCAAACCTTTCATTCACAAGATAAGAGGGAAATTATATAAAAGATAGATGAAAAGACGGAAAAAATAGGAGAGAAATGAGAGTTGATAGATACAGAGAGAAGAGAGAGGTAACTGAAGGGTGCTCTGCCAAATATTTCTAATTTTTATTCATTGTCTAAGGCTACTCTCATTTTTCCCTAATAGGCCATTTTTATGGGCCTTACAAAACCCCAATGACAAGTCATTGCCATGTAAAACTACCTTACTTAATATGGTATCAAGTCATGCTCCAAAGCTTCATCCCTAAAGCACTAAGAAAATAAAAAAGAACTGAAATACAACCACATATTTATGAAGAAGACTTTTTAATAGAAATCTAATGACTCATTGACAATCTTAGTGTCAAACTTGCACCAATTAGGCTGACATATTAGTTGTTCAAGCCACATGCATCTACAAAAGGCAAAGATTAAAGCGTAGGTGTTTGCACCTCAGAAACTGAGAGCGAACATGTAGGCAATGATGTGTTGTGTATTCGGGCATGCCAGGACCAGTGAACCTAGTCAAGGTTGGATTTCTGACTTTATGTAGGCCTTCTTGCTTCTTTAAAGGGAAGTTAGGGGGTTAATGTTCCATGCATTGATCACAAGAAGGGGATTGAACTAATTAATGTAAAGAAGTTCAAAGCCCTCTAGGCTATGCTTGCATCTTCGAAGAGAGATAATTGTCTTTGCATATTGAATGCACCTTAAATTAATTTAATATGATCAAGTTATAGCTTGAAATTCTACACATATTGATGGACTTAGTTTTCCTATACCAGTTGAGGAACTCCTAAATTACATTGGTGCAAGTGGTTTTAACTTTTTTGAGGTAAATAAGAAAGGATGGTTTTATCCACTCTGTATTGGACAGTTAGTCAGCAACGAGAGACAAGAAGAAAGATGGTATATTGAAGACTGGATTTGAATGTGTCTAGGTCTGAGTATCTTTTGAGATTTCAGCTTCCTTGCACAATACACTATACTTGCTTACTATATGGAGCTCCTCACCACTGTTGAATTGGTAGCCCTTAAAAACGAACACCAACATTGTAGCAGTGTGGAGATCGTTTACATATTTATATATTTATTTATTTTCTACACTCCACTTCACCTAACCCACTATCACCTCCACTACACCTACTACCACATTTTCTTCTATATATAGATTGTATAGGAATTGTAATTTATCAATCTTGTAATCAATCAAAATCAATATCAATCAATAATACAGTATAGTGTGGAGATCGTTTACATATTTATATATTTATTTATTTTCTATTTTTGCTTTGAATGATCCTTCTGTCAGTGAAGTTTTTGTTTTACAATACACTGGAGATTGGCTGATATTTTACACATAACAATATATTATCATCTTTGTATCTGTCATATTTGAAACATGTGTACTTAATGTTTTTTCTTTTGTTAACAGGTATTGTTCATCACGTGAGAACTTGACCATTGACCATGTTCTGCCAATTGCACGAGGTGGAGAATGGACATGGGAGAATCTGGTAAGATGACTTAGGAAGGGTACGAACCTATCTTTCTATTACAGCAATATGCCAGTTATAACATTCCAATGCCCCACTGTTGTTCTTGGTGTTCTATTCTATATAGTGGCCTACTTTGCTGAAATTCTCAGACATTTTTGTATGTTACAGTAGAGACATACATGGTTGAAATGTCTGAGAGGGAGTTTCTGTGACTAAAATTTTCCAGTTTGTCATTTTTGTTGCAACTATTTTTTTTTTTAATACATTCATTTTGCTCTTCTATGTAACAGGTTACTGCCTGTTCCAAATGCAATTCAAAAAAGGGTCAAAAAACTTTAGATGAAGCAAAAATGAATCTACTTAAGGTCCCCAAGGTACCTTTTGGTTCCCTTTGCCCAGGCTTCCTGAAAGGATAATAAACTACTTTAAGCTTTTGATTTTTGTGGCCTGGGGTTCATTTCTCCAAAAAAAAAAAAAAAAAGAAAAGAAAAGAAAAGAAAAAAAAAAGAACAATTACAATGCGAGTTTGTCTACCAGTATCAACAATACCTATGCTGATGTGTGTTTTTCTTCCCACAGGAATACAAAGCAAGATACATTTTGTAACAATTACTAAACTAATTGAATGAAATTAATTTTCTTGAAGTAGTGTTATGTTATCTGGAAAGACGAAACCTATTCTTCATTCTTTGCTCACCGGTGATTGGATTATTTACTATTGATCTTGTAGGCCCCCAAAGATTATGACATACTGTCCATACCCCTGACAAGCACTGCCATAAAGATGTTGAGAATGAGAAAGGGTACACCCGAAGAGTGGCTCCAATACCTATGAAAGCCATCTTCAGAGCCATGACATCAATCTGTGGTTGGCTGCAATTTGTACATACCTCTTCTGAATCATACAAAGTAATATTCTTCCCAACAATGACAGAGAGCTCTAATTTTGGAGTTATGAAGAAAGCTCTAATGATGTGGCAAGAGAGAAGAAAAAAAAAAAACAAACAAACAGAGGTGCACACATCACATCACGTGTGCTCCACTCATTGCCACATCATTAAAGCTCTCTTTAAAGCTCCAAAATTAGAGTTCTCAATCTTTATTCTATTCTTCCCGTCTTGTCTCACTAAAAAAGCGTAAAATTGTTCATGTAGTTTTTAGCCAAATAGCTGTTGCAACCTATGTTCCCTACGTAGATAATATTCATGTATAGCGACTGTTATCTGCTGCTGTATTTTCTTCTTTTAGGCTTTGCTTTGCCCATTCTTACGGCCAAGCACTTGTATGATCTTAAAAATAAACACCTTGGTTCAGTTATGCTTGTAAAAATGTAATACTGCCTTTGTAATGATTAAATTATTGACATTTAATCTCTTGGAATTGTTTTCCCATGCTTAAACAAAGTATTCTATTGAGTATCCAATCTTTAATATGCAGTATTGCCTTCACATTATTAGATTGGGTGCAGAAATGGAAATGGTTATTAGTTTGTTCCAATCCCCCCCCCCCCCCCCACCTCCGAGACCGGTCTTTTAAAAGTTACTTTAATGATATATCTACTCTGAATCAGCAATACTACGGGTACCTGCATCAAAAAGATCACAGGTCCTGTGAGAGAGTCTGTACACTTTTTGGTGTGCTTTTCAATTCTAGGTGCACACAGACTTTTCCCTTGTGAATTGCAATAAAGTGCAGTTGTGGTTGCTAGGGTGTTAAATCTCTGAAAGCTTGCCTAACCGAGCTGCTCTCACACCCATGCATACGCATTGCTTGCTATTTTCCTCTGCCAAACGATGGATGGAAGGGCTTGATGGATCCATATCTAGTTTTCTCTGAAAGCCCAAATTGTTTCAGGAAGTACTAAAACTTTCTGTATATCGCAAATTGAGAACAATTTTGGGCTGTTGATTGTGTTGTCTGTTCAAGTAGTTCATCTCAAAAAAAGTTCTAGTTAGGCTCAAGTTATTGAAATTTAAAAAAAAACAAAAAAATTTCTTTGATTGATGATGAAACTAATGCTTTACATCTTTTGAAAATAAAAAGAAATATAAAAAAATCTCAAAAAGTAACCAACATGATAAATAATAAAGAAAATAGATCGAATTATGTGAACCAGGCAATATAATATATTGTATTATAATTTAATATAAATTGTGAGAAATAAACCATAATCTATTACATAAATTAGGATTGTTTTGACTTATTTGAGTCATATCACATCTATATATTTTTATATTTTAAAAAAAAAATCAATAAATTAATTTTTTTTCAACTTTTCAAAACAAAACAAAACAAAAAAAAAAACCTTTAATTTGATGTAATTTCAAAATTTCTAAAATAATGATCGTAATTTGAAATCGAATCAAACCGGGGTCCGTCTTTGCGTTAAACGGAGACCAAAGCAGATTACAGGAGGAGACCACACCCAACCCACAACGGAACATACAAAATACAATACACACACCTCGCTCTCTCTCTCACCGAATCAGAAGAACCCTAGCTCTCGCTATCGCTATCGCTCTCGCTGTGTGTGTGTGTGTGTATGTGTGTGTTTGAATTTGTGGGGTGGAATAGATAAGATAGAAAAGATAACAATGGCATCAGGGGGAGGGAATAATAATGCGACAGTGGTGGGAGGAGTCGGAGGAGGAGTGGAGTGGCACCAGAGACCTTCGAACCCAAAGAACCCAATCGTATTTTTTGACATTACCATCGGTACCTGGTCGTATCAAGATGGAGCTTTTCTCCGATATTGCCCCCAAATCTGCCGAAAACTTCAGGTATATTCTTTACTTTACTTGATTCATACTCTTTTGTTTTCCTTTTCCATTTTCTATTATTATTTTATTTTATTTTATGTTTGTGTTGCTGCTGGATAATTGAAGGTTCCCCTAACTCTTAGGCTGTGTTTGGTTCCGAATCCCTCCCCAAATCCATGAACCAAACACAGCCTTTGCGATTTGATTTTAACCAGAAACAACCTCAACTTGTTCTCATCACTAATCATTATTTGTAGTAATGGAGAGAATTTTCAAGCTTTTACCAATGCTTCGCTATCAACCAACCATATTCAAAATCACAAAGAAAAAAAAAAAAAAAAAAAAAAAAAAAAAAACATCACATCACAGTGGGTGACATTTAAAAAAAAACCTTCACTCTCATCAGTGTCAAAAATAATTCAAATAGGTTACCACTATCTTCAGAATACTCATCAGCAAATCACCCAATTCATTCCTCCATCCCATCATCCTCCACCCTTTTAGTTTCTATTTCCTTTAATCACTTCAATAGAACCAATCATATCCTTTAAATTTAGACTAATACCTATCAGAGAGAGAGAGAGAGAGATGGATGAATGCACTCCACCCAGCTCCAAGTCACCTCTACCACCATTAACATCCGCCATTCCTCCCTTGGAAACCCCAACCACTTGCAAATCCCCTCCCTAACATCAACACCATATTATTATAATCCATACTCTTCTTTTCATTAAATCAAGAACCATCACAACCTTCCTTCAATCTCCACCAATGACCCCTTTTCATATGGTTTCTCCTTAGTTGACAACTTCCCCTTTTCATATGACACCACAGCTAAACAACTTCCCCCAATCAAAACCCTAACATGATAGCATTGGAGAGAGAGAAAGAAAGAGACTCCCAATCTTGTGATTCCTTGTGTATTTCCTTTATTTCATTTTGAATGAGGAATGCTTTAGTGCTTATTGCTTACTATAAGCTGTAATGTTCTCTTTACTTTATTTTTTTGGTAAAAAAAATATATTATTATTAATTTTGCTTTTAAGACGGAGAATCATTCCGATGTTCTTGTGCTTGTGCCTGGAAATGAACTTAACTGTGTTAAGTTGTTGGTTGTTTATGCTCTGCTTAGCTGACCTTCCAACTTCCAAGTGATCAAACATAGCTTCAGATTCCTTGATCTTGGAACACATCTTTTCAAGCCTGGGTACCTTGCGAGCCAAGCTTGGGTTGGTTAAGAAAGACGTGAGAGTAACATTTGATTTACAACAACTTATTAGATGAATCTTTAGAAGTTCACTAAGTTAAAAGTTAAAGAGACAAAGTTAAATTGAAGTGATGAATTATTTTGGAGTGGTTAGCTTTTATGATTGTCCCTACCATCCTTGTGAATATTCTAAATCTTTTAGATATTAAAGAGTAAATTTCTCCAAAAATGTTGCATCTGTTTGATTTTTAGACGTTTATGTGATTTCACCTATTTGTTGTTGCTACTTTCACTTGTTTCTTCATAATTTCTTTCTTGATATTTCTGTACAATTTATCCTCGGTGGTTGGTTTTTTTCTATTTGTTCGGTTTTTTTTTTTTTAATATTTGGCAGGCAGTTCTGCACGGGCGAGTACAGGTTGGTAGACAATCTAATTTCCACTTTCAGTATTTGTTTGTAGATGACTTTTATGTTGGATCTTCCTTTTATTTGTAATTTGCATTGGAATCACTGGAGTATAAAATATTAAGAACCTTTTTTTACAGTTAGTATGCTTGTTTAGGTAATTTTCTCCTTTGGAACTCTCCAAGTGAACTCAATAGCTTTGACTTTTTTTTTTCTTTTTTCTTTTTTTTTGGATAAATAACTCAATAGCTTTGACTTGAATGTCAAATCAACCACATTTCTTTCTTTCTTTCTTTCTTTCCTTTTTATTTTTATTTTTATTTATTTTTTATAACTTTTCCACTGCATTAAGCTGTATGATTTAGTTGTAAATGGGAAGAGGAATTGAAACAAAATTGGAAATAGAATGGGAAGATAAATTGGTTCACGGCTTCAAGAATTTCCATGTAGTGATTGAATAAGTTTGAAGATGTTGTATGACAAGGGTATGTGTAAAGCATAAGTAACTTGGTTCATGGCAAATTTGAAGCAAGGAATCCAGTAATTTTTTTAAATCTTTATGATAAACATTGATAAAACAAATTTGGACACTTAAAGGGAACTAAACATAATAAATCCTATGAAGCATTCACCTTGTTTGGTTTTGATTGATTTTCTGAAAATTAAGTTTTTTTATTTTTCATGAATTTTTTTAATATTTTAAGTAATTTTTTTACTTTCTAAATGCACATAACTTAGATGCACCTAAAGAAGTAAAATATTTGTGAAAAAATATTAAAAAAATTCAATAAATACAAATATAAAAAGATAAGAAAATGTATTGAATTTTGGAGGACTTATGTCTAGGTCCTAATAGATGGACTTATTATCCAATAGGTCCTATGATAAATAATAGCATTTTTTATCAAACACTATTAAAAAGCGTCACTATTTGTTAATTTTTAGCAATAATTTGAAAATTTTGTCACAAAAAATGTCACTAATTATAAGTTTTAACAAAAGTTTAAAAAAATCTTCATAAAAAGATGTTATTAATTTTCAACTTTTAGCGAGAGTTTGAAAAATTTATCACAGAAAAAGTCACTAATTGTAAGTTTTAGCGACAATTTATAAAAATCGTGACAAAAAAAAGTCACTAATTGTCAATTTTTAGCGACATGTGCAAAAAATGTCACAAAAAATTATTTTTAGTAACGATTTTATTAGGACTTATTTTCAATAGGATTTGATGAAAATTATGTGACGCCCCAAAAATCGCGAATATCAAAGAATATATTAATAATTAAATACAAAGTTTATCTAAAGTTAGGAGTCTAGGAAACGACACTAATGAGTCCTATGGGCAATAACCAAGTAAGATTCCAGATCGCCGGAGGAGTTAAGTTAGTCTTTCTTCTAAGTCCAGCTTTCTTAGGTAGTGCACTACTTTTTGACAGATCTTAAAAGACATTGACGCAAGGTCTCATAAGCAACGCAGAGATAGGCATAGGATTACAAGGTAAATAATAATTATAGTGTCTCAAATTTTAAATTTACAAAACGAGTCCCATTACTATTACAATCCAAGAAGTAAAAGCACAGTCAAACTAATAAACGAAATGGTTCCGAACTTTCTCTAAAGCCCTGTTTGGTAGAGCTGTGGGAAAGTGCTTATAGCTTATGTCTAAACAGCTTATAGCTTATAACTATGAACATAAGCTGATTTCTGACTTATAAATTAAGCATCTCCTGCCCCACTCAAAGAATAAGCTGATTTTTGACTTTTAAAAAGTTATAAGCTATAAGCTATAAGCTAAACCAAACACATCAAAATAGCTTAAATTAAGCTGAAAGCTGAAATAAGCTGTTTTTAAGTTCTGCCAAACAGGCACTAAGGCAAACTTAAGTCTTCAAATGTCTTTGATTCTTTGTTGGCTTTGTACATTTCGTCGATACCTGGCATGAAACACCATGAGCTTTGAATGCCCAGTAAATGCACACACACCACGTCTCTTTTTTCCAATTTAATACACAATAGCAAATTACAACAATAAGGGAAAGGAGCATGACATTCAAGTAATTTACACAGGTTACAGGGTTAGTTGTTAGTAGTCTAGAAATCCCCCAAAGAGATTTCGTCCTCCCAACTACAAGAATCGGATGCGGATTATTCGGTATGCCCCCTCTTTTGTTGCTTTGTTGCAGAATGCCTAGCAACGGTTATATACTGTGTAGCACCAACCGTAGGGCCTCAAAAGAGACGGTAATAATGGGCCTTGCCCAAATCCCTCCTTACACCAAATACCTAGCGTCCGAATACAGTCACTCCGTTCAAAGGTTTCGAAAACCACTTGCGCAAGACTTTAACTTCCAACAACCCTCAAGTAAGTCACAACACAACTCTCTTTTTTATTTTCCTTTTTCAAATACATGTTATTAGAAGTTTAAAATGGTATTTTCAGATGTGTTCTAATGGTTTTATTTGAGCCTTGATTCTACCCTTCTTCTATTTCTCTTAATCGGTATAAGACTATCTTTTTCCATATCAATCTCAAAATTTTCAAAGGCACACCTTCACCTTAAATTTCTAAGTTTAATACATATTATTTAGCATGTTTTCATCATAAGAGAAGTGAAAAATTTTCCCTAGCAGATCTTTTATCTCACAAACTTTCTATTTTTAAGAACTGTGCCAGAAAAATCTGTTCTACAGCCACCTTGTGAAAATTTTAGAAAAATGTATAAAAATCTTCTGGACCTCCATTTTATGTCAAAGTCTTTCTTAAAGAGTTAGCTTTCAAGGAAAATTGGTTTCACTGAAAACCAGTGAGCGGTTTGTGAGAAAATCCAATTTTCGTAACGGTTGACAAATTTGGATAGAGCTGGAGTATTTCTGAAATAACTAAAAATCTGGAAAAGCTATTCCATTTTCGAAAAATGTTCTGAAAACTAGGTAAAATTCCCTACGAACCATAGGAAGGCCGGGCTCTGGAAAAATGTGAAATAACCCTTTTGAGTATAATCTTTAAGTAATACTGAATCAGGAAATTCTGTTTTCATTGGTGTTTTATACTCTTGTGTTCATGAATATGCTTATTAATTTATGATCATGTCTCAGTATGATATTACACATGTCATAGGTTTATGTATTTTATTTTAATCCTTCGATGGTGCTCATACTTATGCAAACCTAGAAATTATATTCTTGCGTGAAATTATTCCCATAACTATTTGAATATGCCTAGAGCTACTTGTGCCTATATTCATATGTGAATCTCATGTGTTGTAACTTTATTTCCTTCTATTTGTTCTATTTAGTTGTTCATACTTGTGCAATAGATGTTTTAAAAGCATGTCCTAACTCTAACTTAAATTATCTAACTCAAACGGAAAACTTAATGAGTGGTAATGGGTTGTGAATTTTTGGACAAGTCACTAACATATTGATTGGTTGATGGAATGCGTTCCCTGTTTGGAAGTTAAAGTCTTGTGCAAGTGGTTTTCGGAACTCTTGAACGGAACGGTTATATTCAGACCCTAGGTATTTGGTATAAGGAGGGATTTGGGCAAGGCCATTATTACCATCTCTTTTGAGGCCTACGCGGTATATAATCGTTGCTAGGCATCTGAGGTAAGTTCTGCAACAAAGTAAAAGAGAGATATACCAAATAATCCGCGTCCGATTCTTGCAGTTAGGAGGGCGAAATCTCTTTGAGAGATTTATAGACTACTAACCTGTGTTAATCACTTGAATGTCATGCTCCTTTTCCCTATTGTTGTAATTTGTTATTGTATATTAGATTGGGAAAATGGGACGAGGTGTGTGTTCACTGGGCATTCAAAACTTATGGCGTTTCATGCCAGCTATTGAAGAAATGTACGTAGCAAAACGAAGAGTAAAAGACATTTGAAGACTTGAGTTTGCCTTAGAGAAAGTTCAAAACCATTTCACTTATTAGTTTGACTGTGCTTTTATTTATTCTTGGATTGTAATAGTAATGGGACTCGTTTTGTAAATTTAAAATTTGAGACGCTGTAATTATTATTTACCTTGTAATGCTATACTTATCTCTGCGTTGCTTATGAGACCTTGCGTCAACGCCTTTTAAGATCTGTCAAAAGGGTAGTGCGCTACCTAAGAAAGCTAGATTTAGAAGGGAGGCTAACTTGACTCCTCCGACGATCTGGGATCTTACTTGGTTATTGGTCATATGACTCATTAGTATCATTTCCTAAACTCTTAACCTGAGATAAACCCTGTATTTAATTTTTAATATATTTCTTGATGTTCGCGATTTTTGGGCGTCACAAATTATGTTCAACTATTAGGACCTATTGGTAGTTTACTCTTGAATTATTTTTGTTTTTTTTTTTGTCGTATTTGATGATTTTTTTAAAGATTTTTTTTATAAATATTATACTTTTTAAGTGTATCTAGGTTAGGTGCATTTAAAAATTTTAAATTTTTTACTAAAAACAAGAAAAAATAAAAAAACTCAATTTTCTGAAAAGTAGGCTCAATTTTCTAAAACCAAACAAGGTGATTGATACTCCAAAACAAGTGCAGCAACAATGTCTGACAGAGGGACACAACAGAAACATGTATGGGACACGCCAGCTAGCACTTCTCTTTATTTAATTAATTTGTTTTCAAGGGACACGCTGGGAACCATCGAACTAGTTTTCCCCCCCTCTATTTAGTATTTTTTATGGGTGTTGAACGTTGAATGTTTATTGCTTAGATTTAAATAATTAATATATCATCCATAAAAAAGACATAAACGATAAATATTAACTTAAGAGTAGGGTTTATATATGCATATATTGAATTAGTGTTAGTAGGTCTGTTCACGGGTCGGATCGGATCGGTTTAGCCGTTCCATCACTCGAACCGTCTACCTCGGTTTGAAAAAAAAATCATCCGATGTCGACCAAATCATTGTTCGAAACCGTTTAATTCGGGTTGTAGAAACTATGGTCAGTGCTATAATCAAGCTTGAACAAAAGATTTCAAACCAGAGGGTATGAGAAAGAGGAGAGATTTTTCAAAGGATGAAAATCTGAAGGTTTCATTGCCATGCTTTTGCACCGTTGCCTTTGTCCACCACAATCTCAAGCTGTTTGCTGTCACGATCTTCGAGTGAGAAGCTCCAGTCGCAAGGAAAGTAAAGGAGTGACATATTGAGAGAGTGTAAATCGTGAAAAATAAGCTAAATAAACTGTAGAGAGGGAGAGGGAGAAAAATAAGCTAAATAAACTGTGGAGAGGGAGGGGGTAGAGAGATTGGACTGAGGGTGAGGGAAATGAAATGTTTGATAGAAAAGTAGAGACGAAAGAGGGTGAGAGAGACCGAGAAATAAAAAAAGAGAGAGTGCAGGTGAGAGGAAGAAAAGAGGTCTGAGGGGGAGAGAGAGAAATGAGAGGATTGAGGAGACCTAGTGAGTAGTCAAATCTCTTCTTGGTAAGGTTTTTTTTTTTAATTTATTGATGGGAAGTGTGAAAGAGAGAAATGGAGATAAAAATGTCTAAGAAGAAGATGAGAGAGATAGAGAAACGAGAGGGTTGAGGAGTGGGGAGACAAAAGAGTTGTTGTGTAGTCAAATCATTTGTTTTATTTATTTATTTGTTAATGAGAAGTGTTTATATGATCATTCAGACTTTTATACTGATGCATGCATTGAGGTCTCTGCAAAGCTTCTTGTTCAGGGCCAAATGTTTAAAACTATGCACAAAAGCTGCTGGCCCAAAATTTTGATATCACCTAAATTTCTTTTCTCAAAGAATTTTCATTGCTTATCCATTCATCTACTGGATTGGCTTTGGCAGAAAGGCAGGATTACCTGTTGGTTACAAGGGTTGCCAGTTCCATAGGGTGATCAAGGATTTTATGATTCAAGCTGGTGATTTTCTGAAGGTTGGTCTCTCTCATACACAAATTTTCACCTTTTAGTTATTATTTAAGGTGTAATATTTGTTGAATCATGCATGCAAAGTTTTTTTTATGCAATAATCTCATTTGCGTAATCCTTCAACTTCCTAGTTCAGCACTTTATGACTTCAACTTACAGAAGAAATAATATTTGTTGGCAAAAAATGGGGCTTAAAAGGACTTTATACTACAGTGAATGATATCTATAGGATAGGAGGTCATTTGGAATTCTGAATTTTGCTAAGAATTCCCATTGTCATTTTTACCTGTCAATCTTTCATATGGATTTGGTTAAGTGTTCAGTTTTCATGGTAGACAATCTTAAAAAAATCATATATGGAAGCCAAGCTGCGGATTTTAGCTTGAAGTCATTGTTTCTTTAAGGACCTAATGGTGCCTGTGCGATCATCCTCTCTTGTCGCTTGTGGATTTGATTGAAGTTCTGGTGGCCTTGCATTTCTCAATAAAAGTTCAAATATATGTGCATTTTACTGTGCTGATAATTGAAGCATTTTTTTTTTTTTGGTTATGGAGCTTTACTAAATAAAATAAAAGATAAAGAAGTCTTTTTTGCTTATGGAACTTTAGTTGGAGGAGAGACAACCAAAAAATGCTGCATCACTGTTCTGACTCTGTCGCTGTCTTTGTCACTCTCTGTCTAAGTCACTATGACAGAGAACTCTTACACTCCACATTTCTAGGAGTACTTTCATTGAAATTCCAGGGGTATTTTCATTTAAAGACAGCAAGGAGTACTTTTATTAAAATACCTCAAATTGTGAACTTGTCTCAAGAGGACAGTGGCACAGATTTATCAAAAGACTTCATCTTGGATCTAGTTAGATGGAATCATTTTGATAAAGTAAAAGATAATACAGTTAGATGGTTGGATCTGAAAGCTTCCACCTCATTTTCTATGAGCTATTTTAATAAGAGTGATGGTAGGCTTAGACATTTGACAGTTTGTCTTGCTTTTCAGGGTGATGGCAGTGGATGTGTATCCATTTATGGAAGTAAGTTTGAGGATGAAAATTTTATCGCAAAGCACACTGGTCCCGGTCTATTGTCAATGGTAATTAATTTTTGTACCCTGGTGAAATTTCTGTCATGCTACCTTGGGGTTCGGTTTCTTTCTTTTGAGTTTGATAAAACAGCACTGCAGAGTTTGATGGACATTAATTATTGTCTAAGATAGGAAGATGTTGTATTATTCTTTTTTGGGTAAATTATGCAAATGGTCTTGGTAGTTTACATGATGTGTCAATTTGATTCATGTTGTTTTAATTTGCTCAATTTTGCTTCTTAATTTAAGAGATTGTGTCATATTAGTCCAATAAATAACGACCGCTAGGTTTGGTGGATGAAAAGTTGTCACATGCTCAAACGATGTGTCAATTTGTTCCCTGTTTTAAATTGCTCAATTTTGACAGGAATCAAATTGACACATCGTTTAAGTTTTCGTCCACCAAACCTAATGGCCGTTATTTATTGGACCAATTGAGCAAATTAAAATAACAGGAACTAAATTGACACATTATGGTGGTGTTTGGCAAGTGCTTTTGGGGCTAAAATAGCCACAAAAGACAAAATAGGTTATTTTGGTCACAACAAACAAAACATCACATCTAATCCATAATCATTACACTCCTCTCACAAAAAAAGTCAAAAAAGCCAAAAAGCCAAAAGTTATTCCCAAATCAAGCTTTTTAGCCCAGGCTAAAATAGTCAAAAAGTTAAAATGCCAACCCACTTCCCAAACGGAGGCTATGTAAACTACATGGACCATTTGCATAATTTACCCTTCTTTTTATTATTATGAATATTCGAAGTCGCATGTGAATTTGATTTTGTAGGTGGAATTTAGTAAGTTAAAAACTTGCAAGTAAAAAGTTGAAATTGAATAATGAACTGGACAACTGCAAACCTTTACAACTATATACGCATATACATGTATGTTTGTTGTGAATCATTTCAAGCATTTAAACTTCAATTTTTTTTAAAAGTTTTTATGTGCACTTCACTATTTATTACTGCGGTACTTGTGATTTACTTGCCATTTCTTATATATTTGTGTATATATGTTTTTTTATTATTTATTAAGCTTTGAAGTTTATCGAAGTGAAGCTCCATGATCCTTAGCCCTATTTCAGTTCATCATCTTCACTGCAACTGAACATTATTCATTGCTTCTTGTCATCACCCTTGCCAACAATAGCCGCCAGAGAGTTGCTAGTATTGATTGTGATGGATGATGAAGCCTAGCTTATTGTACCCTTCCCAGAACTTGTCATCGTCAATTGCCAGTCATGTAACAAACCATTTTTTGTTTTTCCTCATTTCTCATCATTAATTTGGTATCAGAGCCAGGTGTAGCTATTTTTTTCTTTAGAGATGTTAGACTGCATGGGTTACCTACTTCTATTGTGTTTGTTAGGAATGTTAAATTTGAGTTTATTTTGGAAAACAATTTGGAATTATTTGGGACTAATTAAATTTTTCTTCAGCATTTTGTATCTAAACTAATGAGAAAATTGAGGTTGTTAATACCTGACCTGGTTTTTAGGTACTATCATTTTCATTAATTAAAACTTGGCAGCAGTTTTAGCCTTTGTGAGTTTGGCTAATTCTCAAATATTATATTGAGATCCTATTTTTACTATTAAAATAATCTGGCTTCCTTATTTTGCAGGCAAATAGTGGACCAAATACAAATGGATGCCAGGTAATAGAATCAAAATTGTTTTATGCTGTTGTAGCTGTCTTCAATTTGTGTTTTCTTTTTGTATTTCATGTGTGTGCATGTTGTTCATTAGAGTGAGTTATTTAAGATCTTACGTGCATTTAACATTGTCTTTGGTACTGAGCTAGTGATCCTTTCTCTTTGCAGTTCTTTATCACATGTGCGAAGTGTGACTGGCTTGACAACAAGCATGTTGTCTTCGGGGTATGTTTAATCTTTTCCTCCTAGAGTCTGATTATATGTTCATTATCTGGCAATCAACTTGATTAATGAATTATTTGGTAGGTTTGCAATCAGTTTGCATTAGGTTGGTTTGACATTATCCATTATTAATATCACAAGGGACTTGGTGTCAGTCTTTACCTACTTCCAACTTGGAAACTATTTCCCTCCGTGTCAACCCTAGAGCCAGAAACTGAACCCAAGGCTTTAAAATTGGCTCTTACAGTGTACAACTATGTCGGTTCATTTTATGTGGTTTATGAATAGCCCACATCTGGTACTGGATATGAAAATAGTTGTATTGCGATGGTTGAATTGGGTTTATTTTGTAGTGTGGAGTCAAATAGACCCAAGTTGCATTTGGTGTTCACTGTCTCTGGCAGTTCTATTTTACAATCAAGATGGCTAATATATTTGTAGTCATAGTTAGTTTTACCAGCTTTGTTTTGTAGAATAAAACTTTCCTCCATATTTGTTTGAGTGTATATATGTAATTATTTGATCTTGTTTCTTATGCAGAGAGTACTCGGAGATGGACTTTTGGTTGTCAGGAAGATTGAAAATGTGGCCACGGGACCCAACAACCGGCCTAAACTGGCATGTATTATTGCTGAATGTGGAGAAATGTGAAGATGAATCCATAATAGCTCTTTTCACTAAGAAGATATTTAGCAACCATTAGTTACTACAAAATTTTAGTATGTTCATCAACATTTTTGCCTACTTTGCGGCACAATGAACTATTGAGTTGACTTGAAATGAGATTGTTCCTTGACTGTTGTTCAATGGTGGAGTTTTCTGTTAGCTATGATAGATGATTGAAGTCATGAATCAAATCTCCGAAATATAGAAATGTTCATAATATGCAATTAACGGTTGGATTCATTCACGGTTGTATGAATCAGTTTAAGAACACAGAAACCTGTGCAATTCTAAGGCTGCTTATAACTTCTTTTTCTTAATAATTTTGGAAATCTCTGCTAGAATTTTTAAGTATTTCTTTGATATCTTGAACCATGAATATTTTGAGTATATTGTTTGTAAACACTTCTAATTGCATTATCAAGAGTGAGCTATATTTTTAATTGAAATTAATTAAGGTTAGGTGTGATTAATTAACTTATTTCATGATTAATTAAGTTTGTTAGCTCTATGATTTGATTTTGATGACCTCTATGATGCAATGAATAGTTATATTTTATTATGAAATATGATGTCTTGACATAGAATTCGTGCTTGTATAAATAGCCGCCAGACTCTTGTGCATTGAATTGCAAATATTATTTGAAAACAAAAATGTATAATAATCGCCTTTACAATAATCATGAAATAAGTTAAATAGAGTCCAAATTGACTTTTCATTCTTCCAACGGGTGGTTGTCCAAATCCATAAAAAAGACGTGTATGGCCAAATCAAAACCTTTCCGCATGACCATACAGTGACAAGTGAATCGATTCTTTCTTTGATGGCATGTATTATCAATCCAAACACTTGACATAGTGAACTTGTAATGTTTACAAGCTAAAACAGATTAATGAATATTCCCTGCAGTTTTATTGAATGAATACCCAATTGTCTCAACAACATACCCAAAAACAAAACATATATAAATGAAGGGGAAAAAAAGAAAAAAAAAAGAAAAAGAGTTCATCTGAAGTATATACAGAAACAAATCTATAACATCACAAGCACGGATACCACCAAAACTGCCAAAGTCAGTGGAGAAGAATGCCAATGCCCCGGAGAAGAAGAGGAATCTATTTGAATGATGAAATCGCAATTTGCTTGTGATATATTTTGTGTAGTGACCATGGCCATACCTTGGAAGTAACAGCTTAAGTCTGCTTGATTCTGGGCCTGAAAGTACATATTAAACGCATATGAAGCATTTCCATTTGCATCCAAACCATTACAAGAAGATCCATACCCAAGTGTCGTGCAATCCGCAAACGTGCAAGCGTAATTGATATTATCTGCAAGTTTGCTCACATTCTTGGCATTCGGATCAAATGTGCACCATTTCTTAGGGAGATATTTCACATTCTGCGCAGCCACAAGATACTTGTTTTGACCTTGTCCAGAAAGATCAAGAGGGTATTTTGGTTGACCGTCATACCTGAAAATTCCCCAGTGGCGCTCAAAGTTCCCCGGAGCAACGCTCTTGGCGTCCTCATCGATAAGTCCAAATAAATAAACTTCTATATATCCAGGCCGAAGTGGGGTGCCCTTATTGGCTGCAAGTCTCGGTAAAAGCCCATTGTAAAACCTAAAAGCTAAATTGGAATTAGCATTCTTGTCACCCTCCGTGGGCCACCCCACCTCCCCTACCAAAATGGGGAGGTCCCCAAACCCTGCTGCTTTTAGGGCCGAAACCAACGTATCATAATTCGCATCAAAGACGTTGGTATATTGAATGCCATTATCAACAACGGGAGCACTAGCCCCATCAAAGAAAGCATAGTCGACGGGGAAGTTGTCGTTGCCATAGAGACTGAGGAAAGGGTAAATGTTTACTGTGAATGGTGCATTGTTCTGGTGTAGGAACTGGGCAATCTGAGTCATGAGGTCACTGATATCTGACCTGAATATTCCAGCAGAAGGGACTGGATTGCTCTGTGGTGATTCGTAGACATCGGCATTTAAGGGTACGGTAGCTTTTATGGTGTCTCCTAGCCCAGCTTCATTTAGGGCATTTTGGATGTTCTGAAGGGCTGGGAAGGTGATATTCAAGAATGAGTTGTTGTAGGACTTGAGAAAAGGTTCATTCCCAACTGCTACATACCTGAACCAAAAATAAATCCAAAATAAATAAGAATAGACTTAGTTGTAAGTCACTGCTGGCAGTCACAAACTTGAGCCAAATATGGAACGAAGTAAGTCAGCAAAAAACAAGAGATGGAAGATATAAAATGGAGTAACAGTCCAGACTACTGAAGCAGTTTTCCAAGTAAACAACCGAACTGATAAAATATCGGCTCTTCAAAAAATTATCGACTCTAGAAATGTTATTCATTTTGCGTGGTGGTGTTTAGTTATACTACTATTGCCAACAAAATTGTATTAAATTATTATTCAACACGTCCAAGTTGAATTCTTAGAGTTTGATCTCTTAATTTAATGGAGAAGAATCAAGCTATTCTTCAATTTAACTGAATTAGAATTCACAAAACAGCTTTCTAGTTAAATATTCAAAGCCTCCTCCTAGACTCATATAAAAGGACTTTATTGAGCTCCAATTACAAGTCAAGAAAATATCAGAAAGGTTCAAGTTTCAACAAACAAAAACAAAACAATAACCCAAAATAACGGAATGGAAGATAAGCCCATTGGCGAGAGAGTTCTTGCAATGGATTTTTATAGATTTTGATTAGTAAAAGGTTGGTTTAACTAGGAAACTCTCTTGAGTGAGTGCGCAACACTAGTACCTCACAAATCACTGAGAAGGGGGAGTGATGTTGAATTGTAAATTCATATCATATGTAGTAGTGCACACAAGATGTATCCACAATTAGTAGGTTCTGTTTCGATGTTTTGTTCCTCAAAAGTACATGTCCTATCATGGGACATATGATTATCTTAATTGATGCTACGAAACAATGAACTTTTCTAAACAATCCATATCCGTTTTTGATGCAACAATTATCAGATGTAATGTAACACTTTGAAGAAAGAAAATTGAAGCGATTGGTATAGGATATCAACATATCTATTTGCTTCCTACTACGTACAAATTACTCTTCAGCAATCAAACGCTTGATTTTTGTTCCAAGAGAGGGGTAGAATAGAGGGGGAAATATGTATATTAGTATATCAAACCATGTGAAATGAAAGACTTAGGTTTGAAATATATAAATAAATAATGGACTTGATGATAAAAAAAACGACTATGTTCTCAGTATTTTCTGAAACACTTGTGTTGTATTTGGTTAGGAGATTTGAAAAGAAAAATAGAAAAAAGGTGTGAAACTAGATGAAATGTACCTTTTCCTTTACCTTTTCCTTATCAAAAACCCTTCCCAAATTCCCAATTAAATTCCCAATCAAACAGCGTAGGAATGGCAGAATCTTAAACTAAAAGAAACAAAACTTGATGGGGGATCACAATTTAAATCAATTAATAAACAAATACCATGCCACCTCCTTGCTCAGACCTCTCTCTCTCTCTCTCTCCCTCTATATATATAGTAACAGATACGACTTTGATTACGCATTAATCTGTATGCGGCCATGAGTTACGAAATGCTTATGCCTTACAGTCGGTTCAGTTTGGATTGAGTGATTTTTATTTATTTATTTATTTATTCTTTTGTGGCATTTTTTTAATTGTTTGTAAAAAAAAATTATATATTTATCTTATACGCAACTACTAATCACCTGTCTTGGATTCATGGGGGAAAAATTGGAGAGAAATTAGTTTCTCTTAAAACTTGTTTTTTGAATCTCTCAAAAAAGTAGAGAAATCGGAAGAAAATAAATAAGATAGTCTATACAACGAAGATAGTCAGAGAAATCATTTTTTTCTTAATTTTATTTTCTGTCCAGCATAATCAACATAAGAGGAGTTCTTTTCTCTTTTTTTTCAACTTGAAGAAATCATTTCATAAAATTGGGAAAATAAGCCATAATAATTAGAGAAACTTAATGATAAATCAATTGAGCAAGAAGAATTGAAAAGAGGAAGGAGAGAAAGCAGAGCAGCATAGAGAGAGAGAGAGAGAGAGAGAGAGAGCTTACTTGATTTTAACACCTCCATTGAAATTGTAACGAGTAACGTTGTGGCGAACCCAGTCCTTAGCTTTATCGTAATCGGCTACGGTGGCAAGCATGTTGTTAGGAATGGCAACCATAACTTCAATACCAGAGCCAGCAAGAACACTCATGCTTGACTGCTCTGTATCAAACAGCTTCACCTTCCCAATTCCATTGTCCTTCAACATCTGTACCACTATTTTTGGTGGCAACTTGTGGGTTGCCATAGTTCCCCAGTTCACACCTAGTCCCTCAACGCCTATGGGTAATCCACCCATCAGCCCCACCATCACATACACCAATAAACATATCCTAAACCACAGATTTAACATTTTTCTGGCTAAACCAAACTGCAAAATAATATATATCTCAATACTGTAGTAGAAGAGGAAGCAAAATAAATAAATAAATAAAAAGATCAGATCTTTCTAGGTGATTTTCTGAGAAAATTCGAGGGAGTTAACGAAAAGGTAGGTTGTTGATTGTGAAGTGTACCTTTTTTTTTTCTTTTTTTTTTTTTCTCTAGTGAGAAAAGAAGGAAGGATGAAAAAGGCAACGGTTTTTGGCAGGTGGGTACGCGGTATGAGCGAAAATTCAGCGATTCTTTCCCAGGAAAAGCTGAGATCGTGAAGAGAAAATTATGTAACGCTGGTAAAGGGAAAAATTTCCCAAATAAATTATATCCCAAGGGAAAATAATATACCTGAAAGATAGGGAATATGTATTGTGTGTTGTGTATCAAAAACTGGAAATGAACGCCCCACCACACCCACTCACTACTACTATGTGATGTGTGTGTCACAGAGAGAGAGAGAGAGAGAGAGAGATAAAAGGATAGATTTTGCAAATATGGGTTGTCGATGTATATGAAAATTGAGAAGAAAAGAGGATTAAAAGAAGGGGGATGCAACAAAAGCTTCAAGTCGGCAAAACAAAGAAGTTTGAGATAAAAGGATAGATTTTGCAAATATGGGTTGTCGATGTATATGAAAATTGAGAAGAAAAGAGGATTAAAAGAAGGGGGATGCAACAAAAGCTTCAAGTCGGCAAAACAAAGAAGTTTGAGAGAGGAGAAGAAGGAAACAGAGTCAGAGATGCATATTAATAGAAACGCAGAAAATTTTAGAAACAGGGGAATGAATGAATACTACTCTGTATGTATATGTATCTGTATTGATGACAGAAAACTGGTGATTGTTAAGACAATAAAAGCCTAATTATTATTACCAGCGAAACTGCTTCCAAGGTTGTGATCTGGATTTGGGGTTTCTAGTGTGAACGTGAATGTCGACTGTGGAGACAGAGAGAGAGAGAGAGAGAGAGAGAGAGAGAATTAGATCATCGTGGTGGGCAACTAACGGCTATAAACTTTGATAAGACAATTGAAATCCAAGTAAAGTATTATTTAATCAATTATCTCCACAAAAAAAAAGGTATGACCAATTTACTTTATTAATTGGTGTAATAATTAGGCTAAGTTTGAAAATTTGTAAAAAGGTTAAAAAAAAATTAAAAAACTATTCAAAAAGTTAACATTATTTATTAAAAGTTAATAATTACGGCTGTACAACTTTTAATTTGAATTTTTTTCTACAAATCAATTTTTACAATTTTTTATTACACATTTTTTCATAAAAAATAAAAAAGTTAACCCAAACATTCATATTTTCAACTTCAATTTTTTAATCTAAAAAGACAGAAAATACACTTATTTAAGACACCTCAAACAATCCCTTAATAAACTACATGAATTATTAATTGATGTATATAATATTATTAATAAAAAATAAAATTATATACTCACTTATTATATAAATTTTAAAATTTTTAATTTTTAAAAATTATATTACATTATTTATTAATATATCAACTAATATATTAATATATATAATTTTATTACTTACTTTATACACAAGTATCCAAAGATGACAGATGGGCACACATAGTCCAATAGAGGAAAAGGTATTAAAAAGGTTCCTTTTCCAATGAAATCTACTTTTAAAGAATTCGATTCCTTTTTTTTGTAAAATTCAAATACTATACGCAGGCTAATAAATTTATGGGTAAATTATATTAACACACCTTCAAGTTTATCTCCAATACAAGTATCTTTTTATGTTATGAAATTTATATTTTTTTTTACATTGTATTTGATTAGAGGGTTGAGAAGAGATTTTAAAAAAATAAAAAATATATATAAAATTAAGTGAAATATAAATATATTTTATTTATATATATATATATATATATTTTCCTTTTTAAATAAATATCTTCTCTAATTCTCCAACCAAACATAGCGTTAAGATTTAAACTTTCATTATAATTTAATCATTCCATTAGTCAACCATTAAATCAACTAACGAAAATAAACTAATATAAAAAATTAGTTTTTTAAAATGTCTATTTTACCCTTATTTACATACATAAAATTGGCAAACAATTTGCCATTTAGAAAATTTTTGTATGCCTCAGTCGTGTATTTGATTATGTCCAATTATGGTGGCAATTATAATTATTGATTTTAAGATTATTTTGATTATAATTCAAAAACTATTTGGTTATACTTTATGTGTGATGTTTCGTTATAACTATTTTTTCTACTTATGAATGAAAAGGGTCTAATTATAATATTTGTGATATTTTATTATGACCAATTATGATGGTAATTATAATTATTGATTATACTTTGTGTGATGTTTGATTGTAACTATTTTTTCTACTTATGAATGAAAATGGTCTAATTATAATATTTGTGATACCATAGCACTATCTAAATGTTTAATAGTATAATAATTTATGTATTGAATGAACTTTTGTAATTCCCTACAAATTTTCTTTACTTTTGTAGTAATTTTTTTAATAAAAATAAAATAGGCATTTAAAAAAATTGATTTCTTATATTAGTTTTTTCCATTAGTTAACTTAACGGTTGACAAACAAAATGTAGGGATATATTTTTTGGATACCAACACGTGGCATGGCGACGCCGACGTGTCAGCCGAAGTGCCAAGTGTCGTGGTAGTTACGCCGAGGTGATCTCGGAGTTGCCGAGGTTATCTCCGAAGATATCGGAATCCGAGATAAGCAGATAAGAGACAAGAGTCCTAGGACAACAAGGAGACTTAGCCAAGATAAGGATAAAGCTCTTAGGGAGTTTATCTTTATCTCTTGAAGAATCCAAAGTCAGTATTGAATTGGAGTCTATAGAAGTCAGGCTTCTAATGGGACTAGGATTGAGTAAACTATAAAAGAGAGGCACCCCCATGGGTCTAAGGTACGCAATTTTATACTCAAGCTTGTGAGTTTAGCACTTGATTATCTTTGAGAGATATACTGACTTGATCGTCGGAGTGCCCCCGGGTGGAAGAGCCACCACCGGAGCCTTTTCTTTCTGTTGCAGGATTGTTGAAGCTATCTATTCTGCCAGTGCTCTCCAGCTGATTACTAGGCGGGCAGTGTGGTCAGATTTTTTCCCACACAATTTGGCGTCGTCTGTGGGAATCTTAGAAGAATAGATGGCCAGTGACGGACAAAGGAAAAACATTGGGGGCGAAACTCCTGCTGGGAGTGGTAGACTAATCGACCTTGACGTTGAAGGAGACAACCACTGTACAGAAAATCATGACCAGGGCCACGAAGAAAACGACGTCGGCCAGGAGGGCGACGCTTCAAAAAGGACAAACCAAAGCAAGTACTACAACGGAGATAACCTTCAGGTTTGGAGGGATAGATGCCTACGAAGGGATGAGGAAGTAAAAGACTTGGCAAACAAGCTGGCAGACCTACAGTCAGTGGTCAACTTCATGATGCAAAACAATGTTATGCAGCCACCATACCCACTGCAAGATACGCCGATGCCAGCTATTAATACCCAGAAGGGAGGGAGAAAAGCAATCCCCGAAGCCCCTCAGTACACCAGGAGTGGAAGCCACTCTCACCGACGCTCCAGGGAAGTCGGACGAGAGGAACCAAGGCAAGAAGAGTCCCAAAGGACACATCGCATGAAGAATCTAGGGCCCAAAGAACATCATCATGTTCAAGGGCAAGCACTCTGCTTTGACACAACCCATGGAAAAAGATCGAAACAGGCCCACCACGAGGCCGAAAGTAGTGTGCCAAAAAGATTGAAGTCCAGAGATAGCCGAGCTCCAGGTAGGAGTAAGGAAGACTTGAGGGACTACTTCAAAAGGAGGCAGCAGAATGTTGAAGTCGAGGTCACTTCCAAAGTTAAGCCGAGAACACCATTTTCGGTGGAACTGGACAAATACCAAAGAGATTTAGTATGCTGAGGTTCCAAATTTATGATGGTAAGTCAGACCCCAACTTTCATGTTGGACTATACCTGAACTCAAAGATCGAAACGGGCCCACCACGAGGCCGAAAGTAGTGTGCCAAAAAGATTGAAGTCCAGAGATAGCCGAGCTCCAGGTAGGAGTAAGGAAGACTTGAGGGACTACTTCAAAAGGAGGCAGCAGAATGTTGAAGCCGAGGTCACTTCCAAAGTTAAGCCGAGAACACCATTCTCGGTGGAACTGGACAAATACCAAAGAGATTCAGTATGCTGAGGTTCCAAATTTATGATGGTAAGTCAGACCCCAACTTTCATGTTGGACTATACCTAAACTCAATGGCATTATACAGTGGGAACGAGCCATTGCTCTGCAAAGTATTTCCCTCATCCTTTGGGGAAATTGCATCCGATTGGTTCCATAAACTACCGAAGGGAAGCGTAAAGACATGGGAAGGCCTGGCCGAAATGTTTGTGGCCAGGTTTGTGACGAACAAACTACAGCCCTTGAGGGTCGACGCCCTGATGGCTTTAAGAATCACCAAGGAAGAAGGCCTTAGGGCCTATGTGAAGAGATACTACGAGGTGTTCAATCGAATACCCGAATGCAACCAAGAAGTGGCGGTCGTATCTTTCAAGAACGGCCTCAAAGATGACTGTCCACTACGAAAGTCTTTGGCAAAAACACTGCCAAAAAGCATGGAAGAACTCATGGCAAGAATTGAAAAGTACGCCAGAGCCGAGGAAGATACATCGGGAAACAGAGAGATAAAGCAGGAGAAAGGAAACGGCTCGCCGAAGCGAGGCCGAGGTAACAGCGGACCGACCAAACAAGAAATAGAGTTAAAGGGTAAACAGACAGTGACGACGGTGTTCCAAATCTCCATCCATAAAGTCTTGGATCAAATACGAAACCAACCTTATTTCAGACCTCCAGCAAGAGCACCAGGGGAATTCATGGGAAGAAACACGGGTAGGCGTTGTGCTTACCACAATGAAGAAGGGCACCCAACCCAGGGTTGCAGAGCCCTAAAAGCACACTTAGAAGACTTGGTAAGGTAAGGCCATCTGAGGGACCTTGTTGATGAGGCCAGGACCAGAGAAGAACAGGCAAGATTGCCTCAAGCACCAGCAGCTCCACCACCTCCAGCACAACAACCACAGGCAGGAGGACCAAGAGTGGTTAATGTGATCCATTCAAGGGTCAACGAGAACGAAGTCAGAGGAGAGACCCAGAGGGTAAGGCATTTACAACATGTCTACCAAATCGGGGAAAAAAGACCTCGGCCTAAAGAAAGCCAAGGACCAATGATAACCTTCACTGAAGCCGACCTAGATATGGTCCAGCATCCGCATGATGATGCCTTGGTAGTATCCCTCCAAGTTGAGGAATGCCACGTAAAACGCATCCTAATAGATCAAGGCAGCTCTTGTGACATCATGTACGTCAGACGTTACAAGAAGCTGGGCCTTCATCCTGACGACCTGGAACAATCCAGCAACCTTATGGTCGGCTTCAATGGAACACCGACATGGCCACTGGGCGCAGCAAGCGTGGAAATACAAGCCGGTACTAAGAAGATCAAAACAGAATTTATGGTAATTGACACACCCTCACCATACAACATCATACCATAACAACATACATAACAACATGTGGTCAACAATTTTAACACATTTTCCTCAAACAGAGCATGGAATTGAAGAAGTCAGAGGAGACCAACTGCAGGCAAAAAGTTGCTGTATGGCAGCAACAAAGTCCACTTGCAACATTCGAGAGCCAAAAGAGGCAGAGATTGAAGACGAGGACATAGAGGTCCTAGATGATGTCGGCAAGGAGCTAACCGAAAAGAGTGAAGAAACACGAAAGAAAATCCTAGTCCAGGAGGGCGACGAAGAACGTTTCTTTCTTCTCGGTTCTGGCTTAGCCGAAGAAGAGGAAAGAGAACTGGAAGATTTTTCGAGAGCCAACATTGAGGTGTTCGCCTGGACACCTTATGAAATGCCTGGCATTGACCCCGAAGTCACTTGCCACAGAC